TCTTGTCCTTTACTCTCTAGACTTTGCCTTTGTTTTGGCTCTTCCCATTCTGGAAATACTCCCTTCTCGATTCTTCCAGTGGAGATCCTTCTCTGCTATCTAGACCACTAAGTTTCCCAGATATGCACAGCTTTGTCCCACCCCTAGCTCTAAGTAGTATTTCTCAACACAAATTATCCGTGCCTCTCCTTTGCTTTTTATCACATTCTTCCATATTTATGTACTTAAGTTGCATCATCCCTTAGTAGATTTGCAAGCTCCTTTGCAGGGACCCTGCCTACTTTCATCTTTCTATGTGCATAGCTGAGAATGGTGCCTGGAACAGAAGAAATATATAATCTTTGTTAAATGATAACAGATAGCATTTGTATAGGGTTTAAGGTTTGCAAAGAGCTTTACATGTTTTCTCATTTCATCCTCACAATAACCCAGAAGAGTAAGTGCTGTAATTACTATTATCTCATTTCATAGGTGAGGAAACTGAGGCAAATAGAGGTTAAGTGACTTGCCTATTGTCACCTAACTAATAAAGTGTCTGATGGAGACTCAGACTCAAGTTGACCCTGAATCCAGGCCTGGCACTCTATGCACTGGGCCACCTAGCTTCCTTGAAAGCCCCAAATACGTTTTTCTGAACTACTAACTGCATCTCTTTAAAGGTGACTCCAATCCATTTAATCCTCCCTCCCCCCCACCCCATAGTATTTATTAAGCTATATTAGTTTGAGGGTAGGGATTGTATTTTTTTTTTTTGGCTAGGCAATAGGGTTAAGTGACTTGCCCAGGGTCACATAGCTAGTTAAGTGTCAAGTGTTTGGTCTTTTTTTAAATCTGCATCTTCAGTGCCAAGCACTAGGCCTTGTACATGGTAGACACTTAATATTTGTTAATTTAGTGAATTGTTTTCCACATCTTTCATGTGCAAACAAAACAAAAACAGACCTTAATAATCTTATTGAACTCTAATTGTATCTCTTTACCCCATCTCCCCTCTCTACAAAACATCTGGCCCGAAGCCCTAACACAAGATTACAGCCTATCATTTGTTATCAAGCAAGCTCATTTTCTTAAATATACAACATCACACTGACTCCATCAGAATTTATGTGAGGACTGTCATTGTGGTTAAGCTCCTGAGCCAAAAGAAACAACACATTCCTGAATTTCTAATTTAAAATGATTTATGCAAGGCCTTGGTCTTGATGATTTGAGATTCCATGTATGTGTGTTATGTTATAATTTTAATATGCTTACTTTTGGTTCACTTAAGGATGAGACAAGGGACAGGGTAAATAAGGACCAGGGGGCAATAAAAGGGAATGAAAGGAGGGAAAGAGAAGTTCCTTTAAATCAATTGCTTCAATTTCTGATCTGCTTTTGCAGTTGAATGATTTAAGTTATACTCCAGAAAATGATAGCCCTATATCCTCATTCCACACCCTACCCCGATTTCTCATACATTAATAGCACACCCATGTGGCTAGAATAAAAACCATCAAAATGCCTGCTAGAAAGGTTTTTTTTAAGTCCTCCTTTCTTCTTTAGAAAGATTAGTTTGAAAGACAATAAGCCATTCAATTCTACGAGAGTATTAACAGAAAGTTAGGAGTTGGAGTAATCTGCACGTTTTTTAAAGATGCACTTCCATAATTCATTCAATTGCTACCTTACTTTCAAGGGAAACAATTAATTAGTTAATTCGTGTTAGCAAGTCTGCTTACTTCTCAGGGCATATTTTTCCCTCTGTCCAAGTGTAACCAACTAAATTTTAAAATTTAAATCACATAAGCCTGTAAGATCAGAAAAGTTTTCTGACCATCCTGAATTGTCAACTGACAGTAAAAGGTCAGTGTTTTGGAGTTCATCCAATTGAAGAGATTACTAAACTACCTTCCATAGCCGGGATCACCAAAATGTGATTATTCTCACTACTAGGAGGTGGGGGCGGGGGAGGGATAAACTTAAGAAGAAAATGATGCAGTCGAGTAATGTCAGTCTCCTTAAGGAAAAACAGGAATTGTGCAAATAATTTTTTAAAAAAATCATTAATACTCTTCCTTTGAAATATATCTAAATCTCTACAATGATTGTTCTCACCAGAGCTATTTTTAAAGTCCAACAGATGATCACTCTTCTTGCACTTTTAGAGGGTAGTTTCTTCTGTTGTTCAAAGCTCCCACTCACACCACGTGGGTGCATTCAGCACCCCCTCACTTAGGCAATAAAACTCCAACATTCTATCTTGGGGGGGGCTTTGCATAAAGGTCGATCCAATCACCCTAAGGAGAGGCTGAATAGAGAATGATACTTTCTTATTGTTTTTCTTTTTTTTAATTTCTCCTTAGGCCAACCACAAAATGCTCTACTTAGATCTGGAGTAGAAGACAAGAATAATTTTTCTTCTTCAAAGTTACAGGCAAGAGGGGCTGCCTTCTCCTCCGCTTGGGAGCCTCCCCAATCCCCAGGTGCAGCTTATGGGAAGAGTAAGGAAGACCTCACTCTCCAAACTCTGGGTCAGCCACTTCTTCCGCTTTGTGCTGTAACCTGAGCCCAACCTCCATCTCTACTCCAAGAAAAAGTATTTTACAAAATTGAAAAAAAAAATGATCTCCCCTTTCATGACTGCAGCCGGCACTGATCGATGACACACCACTGCCACGCACTCGACAATGAGAAACACTTTACGCTACTTGTGTGGAAAGCTTTTTGTGCCCTGCTTCATCTTTCTGAACTAGAAGTTAGTGTGTCCACTTCTGTCTGTGACAGCAAGACCTGAGCAAAAAGATATGCTGGGAAAATGTGGTTGTAGAAAAAGAGACACATGAACTCAGTAGAGGTCCTTTCTATGGAATCTTTGGAATAACACAAAGATTTCCCAGTAGGTGGAGAGGAAACCTACTTTATGATGTTATGGTCTCCAATCTTAAGCACTGAAATGGAATAAATGTGAAATGAGTTTCTATTCAGGAGAGATGTGGGGATGGTACAGAAACTCTCCCGCTATTGCAGCGACCTTTCTGAAAGGAACAACGAGTTTCTCTTCTAATTAAGTGAAGTAGCTCTCCAATCTCCCACCTCTGCTTCATTATGGGGCGTGAATGTCTCAGAGAAATACAAAAACTGAGACTCCGACAAGATGGTGGCTGCCAAACAGACATTCTGTGTTTGTACTTTCATTTCTAATGTCTCTGGCTAAAGAGCAACCTGGTCTTCTTCCCCTCAGAATCCTAGATGCTTCCTGTTGGGGAGGGAAGACGGTGTCCCTTCGGGTTCTGCAAAAGACAAACTTATTCACCACTGGAGAATCACCTCACTATAGGTGAAACACAGAAGTTGAGTCATCACAGCATAACTGACATATCAGCCTGCTTTTAAAAAAAAAGGGTATCATTTCCTTTTATTTTAAAAGTGCACAAACATCCTTGCCATGAGGGGAATTCTATGTAAAGCCACGACTCACCAGTTCCAGGTCCTCTAAAGGCCCCACAGGAAAAAATAAGAGAATTGGGGAGGGGGATACCCTGAAAACCTGCCTAAAGGTGAAGAGCTTTATGGAAACTAGCAAAGCTGGAAGGTATTTCTCATCTACTGTCACACAGCTTCCTGGGCTCTTTTGGTCAAGGTATGCAGTTTAACTTCATGGCCTCCCTGAGGAGAATGGGAGTTAATGGTAACAGTCTCTTGAAGCCAGAAGATCTCAGGGTAACAACTTATCTTCCTTCCACACCCCCACTGTACCAGGGAGAGGGAGGGTGGTGTAGGTGTAGGCCAGAGGTATAGGCAATATGGATGTATTTAAAAGTAATGTGTGTGTGTGTGTGTGTGTGTGTGTGTGTGTGTGTGTGTGTGTGTGTGTTGTGCGGGGGAATGGTGGCATTGAATTAGAGGCCACAGAATAGGACAAAGGATTTTATTCTGGAAAGTGAATTGCAAAGTGGAGGGGTTATAGAGAAGTAAGGAAAGGGCCTATTGGCCCATAATAAAATCCCCAGAGTTTGTCCAGTCCTGAGCCATACATGGCTTCAGTTTTCTCATTTTCTGCATTCTACAGTCTAGTGATCTGGTAACAGAACTCAGCACCCCCGCCCCACCTCATTGTGGTGTCCCAGCAGCAGTCAGGGGCTCACTCAGACGCAGAGAAGATAATTTTAAAAGGGAGAGGGTCTGAGAGGCTTCAGAATGGGGATGGAGAGGGCTCTATCTGTTCAGGACACTTCCTGTTGGACATAAAACTCTAAAGGCTATGAGAAGAGGGGTGCCAGAGATTAGAAACTGGGGTCACACCATCCAGGGCCAGTGGCTCTGAAATGGCTCCTGTTGCAGGAAGTCAATGGGGTCAAGTTACAGGAGGTAACTTGAAGGGAAAACTGGAATCGAGAGTGTGGGATTGTCTTCACCAGTATCCCTTCTGGCCAGTATGGACTCAGGCCTCCAGAAAGCTACTGGCTAGGGGCTAGCAGGCCTACCTTTCATTCCTCCCTTTCTCTTGGTCCCTGGACACTCAGCACCCAGCTTTCACCACTCCTTAGTTAAATAAGGATGGGTTTTGCGGGAGAGCAAGGACCCTCCTTTTCCCAGGCTTGGCTTCTTGGAGGCATCCAGGAAGTAATCAAGAGAAAACATAACCTTTTTAGTGAGGAAACTGAGGCCCAAAGGTTCAGTGTCTTGCCCTAGGTCACAGTAGTAGTAAGTAGCAGAACCAGGATTCAGCCTCTTTTCCATTAAACCACATGGAATCTTGAGTGTCAATAGTGTGAAGGTGAAGGCTTTGAGTGAATTGAATTTAAGGAATAATACACATGGGAATTATGGAGCACTCTTCAGTCTCTCCTATTTCATTCTCTAGACCCTCTAGGACTGCCCAGCAGACTTTTTTATTCCTTCTTTCTATCTTGCATATAGACTCAGAGAATCATGAACCATTAGAAACAGATCAAGAGATCTCAGACATCACTGGACCTAATTCCCTTGTATTTCAGATAAGGAAATTGAAGCCTGGGATTGGGGATTGGGGAGAGAGAATGATTTGTCTAAAATCACTCCATTAATTAACCACAGACCTGGGACCAAAATGCATGTTTCCAGAGGCCCATGGAAGTACATGATTCCCTTCTTGACTGAACTTTTTGTAACATATTCAAAAACCAACTCCTTCCCAACAATAACCTCAAACTAAAAAGTTAAAAATCAAGGACTGAATTTGCTTTCCACTGTCAGTCTGTGAAGAAGGTGGTGGAGGACGGATAAACATATTGGATATTGGTGCATTATATTTCGCCACCATCCATTTATTGTATCATCACCTTTAATTTAACTATAAATACTACAGAATAGGGTGGGAAAAGGGGGGTGGCTAGACTGGCCGAGCCTCTCTGCAGCCAGTTCTATACAAGAAACACCAGGAAATATTTACACCAGTTTACAGTTTTCCTCATTTCCCTTCCTTCTCCCCCACAAAGGCAGCAAGTGTGCAAGATAGTAGCATTGTATGTGCAAGTCTCTAAAGGTATGCAAGTCCCAAAGTTCCATTCCGGGGCTATCAGCTATCAGAGTCCAAATCGCTTTTACCTTCCTCTTCCCTTTTCTCTGGGGATGGCTTCGAAGCCTTGCTCCATTTCCGTGCGTTTTCTGACTCCTCTGAAGACGATCTTTTCTGCCGCCTCCATTTTGCTCTTCTATTCTTAAACCAGACCTGTTGAGAAAAGACAACAAACAATTAATTGGAGGAGATAAAACCCCATAAAATACTAAACCTCTAGTGAAAAAAGAGTAGAAACTTTGGGAAATCACCATGTAGAAAACTCCAGCCTTACTTTACCTTGGCTCAAAGAAAACAATAAATAGTGAGAAGCGGACCAAGGTGTATTTAAACATTCGGTAGAGATTTAAAGAGGAATCCTGGGGATTTGAACCAGGTATTCGCCCGCGTATTAGTGGCCTACTCATGAAAAAGCAAGCTACTAAAAACAGCGTTAGAAACTGGACCAGCCTCCCAAACTCAATAAATGGGGCTGCCCCAGACTGAGCTTTCTAGCCAGCTGTCAACATTTTGTACTAGAGGCAAAGAAGGGCAGTACCTCTACTTTCTCCTCCCTCAAGTGCACCCTCCGAGCCAGCTGTTCCCTTGTGCCCACGTCGGGGTACTTGGTCTCCTGAAAGAGGTTCTCCAGAGCTTCCAGCTGTTCATCCGTGAAAATCGTTCGGTGCCGCCGCTTCCGCCGGCAATGCAGCTGGTTCAGCAGCTGCAGCTCGGTCCTCGACAACGTGCCTACGTTCATATAGGGCAACATCTGGTGGGGGACCGGGGACATCAGGACTGAGCCCGAGCCGTCGTAACCTGCAGCAGGCGGGTAAATGGGAGTTAAAGAGAGAGTGGACAAAAAAAGGGTGGGGACGAGGAGCTTACAACCCCGGAATCAGAGTGAGTTGTCCTCGAATCTGGGCTTCAAGACCACTCACTCCACAGCCCTCCCGCTGAGACGAAGCCCGCCCGCCAGACCTTAGCCAAGGGAAACTGGATACAATGTGAAGAAATTTAAGGCCCCCACGATGATTCTCACAACCCCGTATCCTGCATTATTATTGTATTAGTAGTATGTGTGTTTGTATGTGCGTATGTATGTATACATGTGTAATGGTATTAATATTAAGGATGTCTGAGCCCCTTCTCCGAAAAACAAGGACGGAACAGAGCTTCCCCGACTTTTCCCTAGCTTGTCTGCGAAAGTTTGCAAAAGCCTAAAAACTGGATTGGCGAGCTCTTGGTAGGGTTAGCAGTCGGCTCTGCTGCTACAAAAATAAAATAAAAGTCCGTGAACATAGAAAAGAATAAAGAATAATTTCTTCTCTGGGTCTCCAGCAGCACCCCCTCCTCAGTTCTAGGAGCCACAGGTTTCCCAGCGTGTATTTTCGCAAAAACCAAAACCAAACAAACAGTGAGTGAAGAGAGAATTGGAGTTTCCAGAAAACTGGAGTGTGGGGGTGGGGGGTGGAGGGAAGCAGTTGGGAGAGAATGGCGAATATTCCCCTACCTGAGGACGGAACGCAGGAACACTGCTGGGCCCCCAGAGGCTGCATCGCCCCGCAGCAGGATGGGCCGACGGGCGTCGCCTGCACTTGCAGCTGCCCATAGTAGTAACTGTTGTAGCCCAGGCGGGAGCCACCGACCGCAGTCTGGAGGCCGGCTCCGCTGGGGGCTACTGCACGCGGGTAGAAGCTGCCGTAGTCTGAAGCGCTGGCGTAGAGAGAGTCCCCGTGCAAGGCCGGGAAGACCACCGGAGCCCCAGCGCTAGAGGCCAGAGGCAGCACAGAGTCCTTACAGCGAGGCCGGGCGGCGAGAATATTGTCGATGCTGAACATGCCAGCAGGCATCCCCGAACTCTTCCCGCCGGGGACAGGAGAAGGAAGAACCCAAATAATGATAATAATAAATAATAAAAATTATAATAATAATAAAGAATAATAAAGAAAAAGTACCCCACACAAAAACTAAAGTACCCGCACGTCTGATAGTGTTTTCAAACCGAAAGAAGATCCTGAGCTGCTCAACTGTCTCCCACTCCCTCTACTTTCTCCCTGTCTCTGTCTCTATTCCCGTCTGTCTCTATGTCTCTGTCTCGCGCGCGCTCTCTCTCTCTCTCTCTCTCTCTCCCTCTCTTTCTCCCTCACCCTCTCTCTTCCTCTCTCCCTCCTCACTCTCTCTCCCTCCCTCCCTTTCCTGCCTTCACTGAACTCATTCCAGAGTCGGATGAAGGATATAGTAGTCCAGCTGAACTTCTTCCCTTTTTTATACAGGGTCGACGTCATCCTAGATTTAGTTCCTGGTAATATGCAGATGACAAACAAAACCAGATTTGATTCCTCTCTCTCCCTCTTTCTCTCCCTCTCCCTCTCCCCCCTCCTTTTGGTAGGGATAGTGGTGGTTTGGGAGGGAGGGGGGCCAGGTTGGGGAGAGTCTAAAGGAGGGGGGTTACACAATGGCCTGAAAGGAGACTGGTGTGTGTATTGAGAATTAATTAAATTAACCTAATCCTTTCCTTTACTGAGCGCTCCTGAAGGCTGTGCAGCTCTGTTGGCCAAGCTAATTGCTCCCGTTAATCTGATTAATGCCATTGTGCGAAAGCCATTAACAATTCCCGCCCAGTCTGTTACACACCCACTCGTTTTCTCAAGTTGGGTTCTACTATTGCAAGCGATTTCCTTAGTCAGGGACTCACTTTGTTGGTGGTAGGTAATTTTATTCAATTTGGTTTTACTTTATTTTTAAGAAAGTTGTCCCGGCAGCGTTTGCATTTAATTCTGCACTTAAATCATTACCCACACTACCTTCTTCTCTCCTTTCATTCTCTCCTCTCCAGAGAAAGGTTTGTCTCCCTAGGACCCCTTCCTTTTTAGAGGGAAGGAGAGCGCCTTGGGGAGGTCACTTCAAGAACAGCGAAAAGGTACCAAGTTTCTAAATTAAACTAACATCTCTTGCAGCGACTTTGAGGTGGAAAAATACACGCACACACCACAACCTGAGTTACTGCGATTCTGCTTCGAAATCTTTACCGAGGCAGTATCCTACAGCTACGCTTCTTTTCCAGTTTGGTGCGAAGGATACTGGGGTTTGGGGGGGGGTGCTGGAGGTTACCCCTCTTTATCCAAAGGTCAGTTTCTCCTTATAGGGAAATACAGGCGGGCAAAAATTGTCCTCTGCTCGGACTACCTTCTTCCATCCCACCCCACCCCCACCTCCCCAAACTCTGCTAGGAATACAAGCACACAATATTTCACAAAGCTTACACTCCCCCTCAAAAAGTCTCCTAGCTTCTCCACTGACGAGCCCCGAGCTCCCCCACCAGCAGGTTGCCCAGTGATTTGCACAATCCTCGGTCTGTCACGACTGGCCCTTAGAATCCACAGGAGGTGGACTGAATCAGATTAGACTATTTACCCCATCAACGCTGCGTCAGAAAAGGTAGGAAATTGTAACTTGTAACGAAAGCAAAACATTAGCCTTTGTTGGCCAGGCACAATTGATTTTGTCCAGCAAAGACTGAGTTTATATCAGTCCTTCCAGAAAATCAAACTGGATCAAATCTCCCGCCAGACCTAGGCCAACCCGACTGCCCGCCGACCCGGGGGAAAGATTATTGAGCAGGAGGACTCAGCGTCGGCAGCGAACGTGTTAAATGTGATTGTCTCTGGTGCTACGAAGGTGACCTTAAAATATCTAGATGGGTTTTCCCGGATTTCTCCTTGCCTTTTTTTAACCAACAGTTATTAGCCAATTAAGCACTATTCCTTATTTTCTGATGCGTAGATCACAGGGAACTCAGAAATTACTTCCAAGTAGGTTGCCGGATGGAAAGGTAGGAAGTTGTAAATTAGTAATAGTAGTCTGTTTAGAGCAGACTGACCGGCAAGGGGTTCGGTCATTCCCCGATACAGTCCAAGCGACCGGGATCAAACACAAACAGGCTGAATTAAACGAGCAGTTTGAGGATCACTGAAAGGGACAAGAGGAGATTTTTGTACACTCTTAGAACTCCTGCAGGCCCTTACTTACCGCCTCCCTCCGACGCTGCATCAGGCCAAAGGCTGGCTGTTGGTCCCCAATTGAGTGCGCGTGCTTAGGATGTAGGCTCAAATGGTTCACTTTCCTTTCCAGCTGCAGCCCGAGGCTCCTTGGCAGCGCTGGACTGCGCTGGGCAGAACGCAACTACTATTGCCGCAGGCAAGCCAAGGAGTCCGCTTGTTCTTCTGGGCGAAGGTGAAGAGGAGGGTTGGAGATGCTTCTGAAAATGTCAAAGCGTTATATATATATATATATATATATATATATATATATATATATATGAATATATATATATATATATATATTTTTGATTTATTAAAAAATCGAAAAGCTCCAGTGTGGCCCGTCCCCTAGGACAGGAATAACTGTGCTTCAGGGTCACATCTAGGAGAGAAAATTGCTCGAGCGCTTTCTCTCGCGCGCTCTCTCTCTTTGGGGATACAAGCCTACTTCATTTTTCCTATCAGTCAATGTGAATCGTGTCTTACTCTCGGCCCATGCTCCCCGTTGACCTTTCCCAGGTTTTAAAACTAACGGACCATTGGCGACAGAGGCAAACCCACAATAACTCGTAGAAGTGAATTTTCTTTTTTTCTTTTTTTTTCTTTAATTTTCTTTTTAAAAAATTAATTGACATCATCTTAGGAGAATGGTCCAGGGGATGGATACCAGGTGGGAGCCCTGACTCGATCACTGGGTATTTTAAATCCTCTCCAATTGGCCCCACTCCTATTGTGGGTTGGGGTGAAGTTGGATTGGGAAGTCCCAGAGACAGGACCCTGTGAAATTCCTCCCTCTGGGCACGTTTCTTCGCATAAAAGAAAGATCACCTCGGAGTTTAGAAAGCAGTCAGTTTGCTATTGTACTGTGTGACCCTGGGCAGGTCACTTAACCTCTATGAGATCAGTTTCTTTATCTGTAATTTGGGGGGAAATATCGGGGTACTTATCTCATACAGTTATTTTGGGGAAAGAGCTTTGTAAACCTAAACCATTTATAGGAATTCTAGGGTATCTCGTCATTTAGCAATATTGCTTTCTTCTCTCTTCTTTCTCTCAAAATCCTCACTATCCCCGTTGAGGATGAGGACGATGATGATAATAATAATAGTAATATCAGCTGACTTTTATGTAGCGTTTACCAAAGGATTTTACATACATTATCTCATTGTCTCTTATTCGCTGTGGGAAACGAATTGAATGGCTTTTCCAGTTATATTCGATGTAACGAGTCCCTCTCCCTTAACCTCCCATACCAGGGCAAACAATTTGCAAACAACCCCAGAACGAATGGCTACTGCTTACAGCGCCTGGTCAGGGGCTGGTACTGGTCGGGCGTGAAGGTGTGGGAAGAATTCATAGGTGACATTATTATTGGTAGCTTCTTTGGGGGCAGGAGGCCGCCCCTATGGGTCACTAGGTCAGCCTGGAACTGCCGCTATGTTTTTTCTCAACTTCGGACACCTGGCCCTAGGCTCCGGGAGGAAAAATTCCTCTAGATATGTTGCAAAATCCACTCCCTAGTTACCCGCCCGTTTCTCCCTTATCTTCCCCCGCCCCACCCGCCCCATCAGGTTAGAGGACAAATTCGAGGTTCACGTTCCCCCTTTGCGCCAACTTCGCAGAACTTTCCGGGGAGCCAGGGTTTGCAAGTGAAACCCCCCTTTTCCTCCTGCAGTGAATTCTCCTTTCGCCCTCCCGGAGAAGAGAACTTAGAAAAGTCATAAATGCACTAAATAAACAATCAGTTGTCCCGCGTCGTCAGGGTGAAATTGGAATAACAAATGAAACTCAAGCAAATTGTCCTACCTAGTGTTGCTAAGCAATTGTTTGTTACTACTGCAAAGTCTCAGCATGAGAGGAGGATGCATGTAAAGCGGAGTATAGAGACGGGTCCGACAAGCTGTTAGAGGAGAAATACAGTAAACAGGGCATTGATTTTCAATATTATCCCCCAAACACGATTTCATACAAAGCAATCACCATGCAGAAGTCTATGAAAATGTGTTTGTTGCGAAGTCAGTCATTCTGGTAATATTCTTCATTTTTAAGATATTAAAGAATAGATCAGCAGACACAAAATGCATCAGGTATATTGCCTTTCAGCTTATCAAATCTCTTTTGTGCAGCGGCCATAGTCAAATTGATTCATAAAGGTTAGATTAAATTGTTTCTGTGATTTAAAACAAAGAGCAACAAAGTTGTGGGCCCCCTGCCCCCACATACACACACTTTTCCGACCTGATGTTTCTATCAGGAGAAAAACTATTCCTCCCACCATCACTTTATTGCCCTCCCCTTCCCCACCCTTCTGTTAGCAGTCAAAACGATGTCTGTGGGCCCCTCAACTTCTCTTACAAAGAACTTTGCCTTCATAATTTTCTCGATAGCTCCCTGAAACAGATCGTACTTCATAATCAGAAATGTTCAATTGGAGATTTTGATGCAATTTACATAAATTTGGCACATTGTTTTAGGGGGTAAAATGACGTCTTTGACCGTGAATTTGTTGGGGTCAGGTAGGGTTCACTTGCCCCCTAATTAAAGAATAATGTATCTAAACCCCAGGGCATGTTTTTAGTGAAGAGGTGAAGGGGCGGGTAGGAATTGAGCCGAGTCTAAGGGAAAGCAGGACTTCTTTGAGACGGGCAAATCATTCTGTTTCAGTGTTACCCTCCAAAGTGAGCATTGTTGGCTCAAAAGCCTCTCCTCTGTCCCCAGCTGGGCACATACCGTTTCTGTGAATTCAGGGCATCTGCTGGACAGACCTGTCTGTCCCGGGAATTGAAGTCTCCGGGGTGGACTCTGGGAGAGAAGTTTAATGGATGTGGAAAACAAGTTCAGGAGCTGTGGATTAAATGGGGTGACAATACCAATATACTGTGAGTCTTGGTTTACCTTTGGGGGTGGAGTGGGAGGGAGAACTCTTCAAAACTATTTTTATTGATTTTGTCCAGACTTTGGGGGAGGGGGTCCTCTTAACGAGGACACCTGAAGACATTTTCATTTTTTCTTTTCATAATTTTTGAAAATGTCGAATTGATAGGAACACACAACCCATAATACATAGATCTTCTAGAGAGGATTTATGAGACAGTATGGCCAAGAATCACAGAGGATAGAAAGACAGGAATGGGAAAAGGCACAGGGTATCAGTGAGATCAGACTCATTGAGGTTTAAGTCTCTTGGAAGAGAAGAATCAAGAGCCAATGAGATGGAATAGGAAAACTAGCAACCTTGAAGAGGAAAAATAAAAACTAGCTACCATAGACCTCTCCTCATTTACTACCTGAAGAGCCAAATTACTTGATCTCAGAGTCTCAGTTTCCTGATCCCTAAACTAGGGATAATAATAGAATCACTCAGAGGGTTATTGTCAGGAAAATGCATTGCCTACAGAAATGTAAGCTACTATTATTTTTTTTCTTCTCAACTTTTTTTGATGAAAAGGCCTTGAGATGAGTTGCTGTTATTTTCTCTTCAGGTTTTTCTATGCAATTCATACAGAAACCATCCTAGAACAAGTAGCTACCTTGCTATTACTCTCATGTATGTAATATTCTATGGACTATTACAGAGGGGGAGAAAAAAACCCAACCTGCTTTTTGTAGTTAAAACAAAAATATTTGGATATAAACTCATCCTCTGTAGGCTCACTGAAAGCATCCTTGGTACAACTCTAGTAGCAGACAGGACAACAGGGATGATATTCATCTCATCCTAGTCCCACATGATTTTGATCACCTCTGTTAGGTCTCTATATTTTGAAATGTTTTTTGTGGTCTTTGTTTCTCTCCTCCTGTTTTTTACTTTTTCCTTGTCCTTTTCTTTAAGAAAAGGCAGAGGTGGATTAAAAGTCGTTAAGTGGAGTCAGGAACACTTGAGTTCAGGTCCTAGCTGTGATAAATACAGGCTGTGGGACCTTGGGCAAGTCACTCTACTATTCAGTGCATTCAAGGATCTCTTTAAGACTAAAGTTTCTGCACTTCATTGAAAGAAGAGATTTTCCCTTATACCAGTGAAATCAGAGCTCTTGGCCAAAACAATAACAATAAAAATGACAACAACAATAACAATAACAAATTTATTGTAATACTCAGAGAGACAAAAAGAAGGGTGAGCTCAGAAGAAAACCTCAGAAAACAGCTTGGTCTGTTCTATTGCTGCATTTGCCTTGAATTCAGCTATCACATTTACCCAAGTTTGTTTCAGAATGATTGCACCACTACTCTGGTAAATCATACATTGTAAATGATGATAATTTGTTCTCTGAGAAAATTTCCCTTGAAATGATTAGGAAAGTCAGTCATTTGAAAATTAGACCAAATGCATAAGCAGGTCCCAGAGCTTCCCGCTAACAATATCAGCTTCTAAAGTTTTCATTCATATAAACCTTATTAATGAAGATCTTTTAGTTAAATGTCAAGGGGGTTTGAAATTTAGAGTAAATCATGAAGCTTGTATGTCTTGCCAAGTCATGGGTCAAATGCATTTGTGAAAAACTGCTAAAAGAGCATATGGTTTTGAATTTTTCTACAATGACTAGTGTTTAAATAAATTGCTTGTACTGCTTAACTTCATGTATAATTTTGACAGAAATTGGCCTATAGCCTTTTGATATGTAAACATTTCAGCCTTTTATGCGGTATGAAAAGACACTTGCTTTTTAGGATCAGCTAAAGCCGTCACCCTGTAATTCAGAAAGCTGGCACCTAACATTACACTCTTGCTACATTTCAACTTTCAAGTGGCTGCCTCGGAAAAAGAGGATATTTCAAAAGTATTGTCCATTTGGAATTAAAAGCTGCAAAGGAGGTGAGAATGTCATTTACTCTCAGAGAGAAATAGTTGATCACCATAGCATTAAAGCACATCTTCTGTCAGTCTTCTGTATATCAGGACACTTAAGTGGTGGCTGGGATTGACTTGCATGACATTAAATTATGTCTTGTATCCAAACGCACAAATAGGCGTTAAAAAAAAAATCTAGGTATCACTTGGGAATATAGGATCAGAAAATGGTCTGGTGACACAGAACCCATTGGGATGCAGACCCAGGGTAGAATTCTCAGTTCATGAAATTCTGGATGCAAATAGTACACATTAAATGGAAGAGTTTTTAATGACATGCTCCAACCACAACCTTGGTCAAAAATTCTGTGTTCTGCAGTGCTCTTAGTAAGGAGGGAAAATTTTGGGACTTGGTCTCAAGGCAACCTCCTCCCAAGTGATTTTTGTCTGCATATAAATCTGAAGGGCTACTGAATAAATCCATTTATTTCTAATATATCTAGCTCACATAAATAAACCTTGCAATGTTGATTGGATGGATGGCTCACCTAGTGGTAGGCAGACCAGGTCCCTGAGAGCTGCTTGGTGCCAGACAGTTCAATGTGTTTATTTCCTGTGTGCTCAAGCTGGGGTGAAAACTGAACTTGGAAGGGGCTTTCAATGAACTATATAATTTCAATCTGTTACTGTAGTAAAATTCATATTTATTGTATATGTCAGTTTGTCATAAACAGACTTTTTTGAGATACACTGCCCCTTTTGTTAACTTTTAGAGGTATTCGATGGGGGGCAGGGGAAGAAGCGAACAAGGCTCCACAGACACATTTCTTTATATGGAATTTAGCAAATTGAGGCGCTTTTAATAAGGGCGATTATTCCACAGTGAAATCTAATTAAGAAAATAGAATCATGGAAAGGCCTCTGCTGGTGCTGAAAGGAGTGAGAGGAGGTGCTCTATTTACATTTCTTATGCATTCCAACACATCATATTGTGGTCAGCAAACAGAAAAGGATACATTTCAAGATATAAAGAAGACATAATCTTTTTTTCCTTCTGGTCCTACATTCCAGGCTAATCTCTGAATTCGTTCTGAAATGAATAAGGGTAATCATTTCCGGGTTAGTTGTACTTCCAAAGCTGGTGGGAAAACAACTAATTTGCAAAATTCAATGCTCCATCACTGCCAGCTCCTTACTTTGAGAGAATCCTTAGAAAGCATTTTTTTAAAGTAGGAATATTCAGAATATTTTAGTAGGAATATTCAGTCACCAATTAGTCAAGCAACAGTTGACACCATTTTGGCTCCACACACACCAATGCAATGTGGAAGGCAAGCTTTTTGTTAAGCTTCAAAATAAAACTAACAACCCCCCCCCAAACTCACCCATTGAATAAAAGTGAAAATCATAGGAGAGTAATTTCCACATTTGAAAATTCATTAAATGAACAATTATCTCAGTAGCTAAAGAAATAGAATTTCATCTTAGGCTTTCATTGTGGCTCTGCTACTTAGCCTCTTATATGACCTTGGGTAAATTACTTAACCTCTCTGAGGTCTCAGTTTCCCAATCTGTAAAATGAGTGGCTTTGTATTAGGTGATTCCACAGGTCCATTTCCAGCTCTAAATCCTATGATCCAATGATTAAGTAATAGCTCCAGTTTACATAGTACTTTCTTCATGATAATCTTTGAGGTGGGAAATATGTTATTATGTGTTCTTTACACATGAATAAACTAAGACTCAGAGGAGTGACTTGTCCAAAGTCATACAGGAAGGAAATGTCAGAACCATGAATCAAATTCAGCTCCTTTAACTCATTTTTGCCCTTTTAAAAGAAGGCTTGATGAAATGGTTTGTCATTTAATCATCTCGGAAACCAGGAAAGGCCATGAAAATTCTTACTAGGCTGCAATACTGATCACATTTCAGAAATGTAAAGGAAAAAGTACTGTAATATATGGATTGTGACCATTAAATAATGAGATTGATTTTTTAACACGCATACTAGAACTTATAAATTCAAATAAGTATTGTCCCGGAAGAAAGTTTTAACAAATATGGTTCAAATAATTTCATCCTCTTTGGGATAAGCATGTGACTTCCCAAAGGAATTCCTTTGAGAGATAAGTCATTTGGATGTAGAGGTTCTGTTCTGCTTGTTAAAAAATCATTACCTTATAGGCACACATTATTGTATACTTGCAAGGGTCAAAAAGAAAGTCAAGAAGAGTGTGAGTCAAATGCAGAAGTAGAGAGGTCATGGGAAAAAAATGGCAAAAGAAAATGAAAGAACTTTCATAGAGTTTACTAGAACTAGGACAGAACAAGTTAGAGCAAAGATTATTGAACCTGAGTTCATAGAAATCATCTAATCTATCCCCTTTACCTTATAGATGAGAAAACAAAGTGAAATGATTTACCCAAGGTCACACAGTTGATTAATAGAAGAGCCAAAACTGGAATCTATGCCTTTTGACTGCCAATCTTATTCATTAATTCATTTAATAATTATTTATCATTATTTCTCCCAATCCAGTACTCTTCATACTATGTCAGTTATCTTTTCCCAGAGGTCATTATTGGTTTTTTATAGGGGTGGATAATATTTTAAACCAATAAAATTAATAATAGGTCCCTTATTATCAATGCAAGAGATGATATATTGTCTCAGCTGCTTCACATAAATGTGTGTATATGTATACAAAGTTGATCCATTAATAGCTACTCCATATAACTGAGGCTAACCTTCCTCTTGTCTTTCCCCCTCATTAATTTATCATTCTTCTTCTTCTCTTTCTCCTCCTTCTTCCTCTTTCTCTTTTTTCTTATTGTTCTCCTCCTCTTCTTACTCATCTTCTTCTTTCTCCTCTTCCTTTTCCTTTTTCTTCTCTCTTCACAAACTATCTTAGATATTTATATCAAGCGTTCAATTAGCTTGAGCTAGGTGGCATAGTAGATAGAGTCCTGGACCTGGAGTCAGATTCATATTTCTGACTTAAAATTCAGCCTCAGACATTTAATAGGTGAGTGACTCTGGACAAGTCACTTAGCCCTGTTTGCCTCAGTTTTCTCATCTGTAAAATGAGC